CACAGCCGCTTTGATGAGGCAGGCACCGCGGGGAGGAGGAGGCTCCCCCAGGGGCTTCCCGACAGCCCTCCCCGCCCCCACGGCCCAGGGCACCTCCGGAGGATGCCTGGTGCCGGAGCTGGCCCCCAGGACGCCCGGGGCCTGGCCGGTCCCCCTGTCACCAGATGGGCTCAGAACCCAAGTCTGGCCTGGCCTCTGCCCAGAATACTGTCCTCCCCTGAGGATTCTGACCCCTCTCTCTCCCCGCAGACCCCAGGTCCTCCCGGCATCTCCCCCGCTTCCCAGCTCCAAGCCCTGCAAGATCCCCTTTCGCTGGCCCTAACGTTCTACCCGCCTTTCCCTTCCCACCTTAGGCTCCAGCCACACGGTTCCAAGCAGCAGACACCCCCTGCCCCCCCACAGACCCTCACGCGCCCTGCGAAGCCCCAGCTCCAATGCCCCTCCCTCTGGACTGCCTTCCCCCCAGTCCTCCCCTCCAGCCCAGCCCGAAACCCTCGGGGCTGAGTGCCATGTCCTGCTCTGACACCCCCAGCCTGGGGACCCCCCAGCAGGATGAAGCAAAGGTGTGCCACCTCCCCCACCCCGCCGAGTCCCCCACTTCCAGCCACCGCCCCCACCCCACCTGGAAAAGCACCCATGGGGACGCACACGGAGCCAGCAGCGGCAGACACTGCGTTCAGGTACTGGCCGCAGGCAGAGGTGAGGGTGGGAAAAACACCCCCAGCAAGAGCGGGTCCGGCTCGGCGCTGGCTGGAGCCGTCCAGACCCCTGCAGGATCACGTTTCTGGGGTATGTGCTCGAGTCAGGCTCGGAAACACCGCAGCTGACGCTGGCCGTGTTGGGGGACGGGGGTGGGGGGGTACAGTGGCCTCTGCACGAAAATGGCATCCAGAGTTATTCCTGAAACCGAGAACGGACTTAAAATATACATAAGTGTAATTTTCGTAACTTAAAAAATCTAAACGAGCCGAAACGGCCAGAACAAAAACATGTGCGATCCGGTCACACTGCTGAAAATGCCGCTGAGGCCCTCGGCTTCGCCTCCCAGATCCTGGACCTGTATTGGGGGACACGCACTCAGGGCGGACAGGACACCCCCAGAATAAAACATGCCCCAGGAGGAGAGCGGGGGCTGGGCATGGCCCAGGGCGAGGACGTGGTGGCCACTGGGGCTGCTGGAGGCTGTGCCCGAGTGCCCAGTACCCAGCACGACCGAGCACGGGGTCTCAACGCCCCGACCAGAGGCCCTGGACCAACCGCCTCCATTTCAAACTGAAGCTCAGTGAGGAGACCAGGCTCCCCGAAAACCCTGCCCCTCACCGCCTACCCACTCCCCAGGACGTGCTGGGGCCCATGCACCCAGGGTACCGACCCCAGCTCTGACATCGCTCCCACGGCAAGCGACTTCCCGGCTCCAGCCCTGGTCTGCACTGTGACAGGGCCCGTGGCAGTTCCTCCCGTGGGATCCGGAGAGTACACGAGACACGACATCAGACGCTTCCTGCACACAGTCAAGTGACAAACACACTAGACCTGTCCCCTCTACAAACACATCTGAGCTCCCGTCAAGTTACGCGCCACCCGGACGTCGCCTTGGAAAACGGGAAAAACGTCGCAACGTTGAGCGCCAGTCGAAACCGCCGTGAGACCCGTGAGTGGCGGTGAGGACCGAGAAACGCCTCGCGCGCGGGCAGCGGGACGCGCCCCGCGGGGCCTCAGCACGTCGGTCCCCACCTCGCCCCACGGTGCGCGAGTCACGAGCATGGTCACGGCAGCTGGAGGCGGGAGCCCGAGTGCCCGTCCACATGGGGGGCCTTACTTGGCCCTAAAAGGGGGGAGGTGCTGGCACACGCCACGACGCGGACGGACCCCGAACACGCGACGCTCAGCGAGACACGCCGGACACACGGGCCACGTGGGGTGTGACTCCATGTACGTGACACGTCCAGAACGGGCACGTCCACGGGGATGAGAAGTGGGCGAGTGGGTGTCAGGGGCTGGGGAGGAGCATGGGGGTGACTGCTGATGCGGACGGGGCTGCTTCTAGGAGCGATGGAACATTCTGGAACTAGACAGAGGAGATGGTTCCACAGCTGTCGACGTGCGGACACGCCTCTCGACTGTACACTTTAAACGGGCAAGTTACGTGCTGTTCCTCTTACGTTATCGAAGCTGCTAAAACACTCGACATTTTCGGTAGAACGGTTCAGACTGAAAACCTGAGTCCTTCTACGGCCAAAGACCTGTATTACGAGTTTGGGGCTTCAAATCTCACAGTGGCACATTCTAGAGCCCAGGCCTAGCCGTGTGGGTAACGAACTACCAGGACGTCACCAGCATGCAGCATCTGACGCCAGCAGGCTGTGAGCCTGACCGCCGACCGTGATGCAGCCCGGTCCCCGGCCAGCAGCTCCCGGCACGCCGGCCTCTGTCAGCACACGCCCCGGGGACCGCACGGCTTGAGGCTCGGCTCCAGGTTTTCCTGGAAAGGTTCCGTGGCCACGAGCCCGCTGCTCCCGGCTCTCCCCGCCTGGCCACCCCCCAGCCCCTAGCCAGCAGCAGAACTTCACGGCCGTCGCGGCTTTTCGGGCGGAAGTCGGCCCCAGGCCCTGCCAAGACCGGGAGGAAGACGCAGACGTGATGCCAAGTGGGCGGCCGGCCGGCTGGGCTGCCACGTGCCAGGAAGGGGGTGGGGTGGCGCCAGAGTCAACAGGGCCTCTGACATCTGCCGGCTGGCTGGGCCCCGGCCACTGTTGACACTGGCTGCACAGGTGCCTGGCCAGCTGGGCGGGTGGGAGGCGCGGCCACTGGCCCTTTCAGTGGGGCAGGAGTAAGCTCCCAGCACGGCGGCGCGGCCCCTCACTGGTCAAGACGGCCCAGGAAACACAGCTGGGCATTCGAGCCAGGCCAGGTGCCACCCCAGGACCCGAGCACGTGGCTTCCTGTGCCGGGCTCGCCGCCCCTCCCTGAGGCCCGGCTCGTTCTCCCCGACGCATCGGCTTTGCCAGCACGGATGCCGAGCCCGTCCATGACCGCCGGCTACCACTGCCGTTTACCTGTTTCCTGACCACTCACCGCAAGGACGACCCCGAGTGACTGCGTGACACCAGTCCCCGGCCCTCTGGCCTCGGTCTGCCCCGCGACCCAGCCCTGCGTGGCCTCAGACTTCACCATCACACCTGGACAGGTGGGATGCTGGTGCCCGAGGCCCTCTACTCCCGACACGCCAAGCGGGCTTTGGTATCTGGGCTTCTGACCCCTTGTGCCTGCCCACCTGGTCACCCTGTTCCTCCGGGCTGGCCGTGACTCTGAGAGACTGGGCCGTCTGCCCAGCTCTGGCCCCCAGCCCGGGGCTCCCTGAGGGCTGTGTTCAGGACAGATGGCAAATACGTGAACCAACGCGCACGGCTCGCCCAGATAGCCCAGCCGCTGAGGGAACCCAGAGGCCCGGGTCTCAGGGCCCGGAAGACTCCGCCCAGGGCCGTGCCTCAGTTTCTCATCTGCCAAACGGGCTGGGCGGCCACCCAGCAAGCATTCCTTCCGAAAGGGAGGGGAAACTAAGGCAGGGAGTGGGGTGGTGCCATTGGCCAGGTTGCAGGCTCAGGCCGGTGTCCAGGGGGCAGCCAGGGCCATGCGTGGGGTGGAGCTGGCCTTGCCCTCAGCAGGTGACGTCTGCTGGCTGTCATTCTACCAGAAGGCACCGCCATCGGCATGCCAGGACTGGGCAGGAGGTGACAGTGCCCCACCCAGCCTGAGATGCCGGGGCAGGGACCTGCGGATCAGCTCTCCCCGCCATCCTCGGAGCTGGCTGTGCCCGCCCAGGGACATGTCCCTGTCAGTCCCACCGCGGCCCCCAGCTCATCCCCCTGGGTCCGGTTCCCAGCTATGCAGGGCACGTGTGAAACTTTTTGAGGGCCTGCACCGCATCCCGGATGGCTGCTGGGTCCCAACACCTTGGCCCCCCGCTCCCGAGGGAGGCTGATGGGGACTCCCTGGCTTTGGGTCCCTGGAGGTCAGCACCAGCCTGTTCCTCGGGAGGCCCCGAGGGTGGCCGGACCTGGCCTGCCTGCCGAGGCCCCGCAGCCCACCCGGGAGCCGGCGAGGACGGGCGCTGGGCCACGGGGGTCGGGCCAGGGCCCAGCTGGCCGCGGGGGGAATGCGAGCCCCACTGGCCGCCCGGCCGCCATCTGGTTTCCATCTGCCCAGCCCAGCTCGGCCCAACTTCAAAGGGCGCCCCGCCCGGCCACTTCCTCTGCCCTGGCCGTGCGGGAAGGCACCAGGACGGCCGGCTTCCTCCCCAGCCCTGCGGAGCCCCAGGGAGCCGCTTGGCACCCACACCAAGGCGGCTGCCTCCCGCCAGACCCGCCCCAGCCGCCGGAGCCTCCGGGAAGGGGCCCCCACGCCGCCCACGAAGCCTCTGCCCCCACGTCAGGAGCCACACGCAGCCCACGCTGTGCCCCCTCCAGACACACGGCCTTTGCTTGGGCTGTCCCCTCTGCTCTGTCCCTCTGCTCAGCCTACTGCTGCAGACACCAGGGGCCCCCGAACTTCTCCCTCCTGGCTCGTGGCCCCCACATCTGTGCATTTAACGACCGGACCATCTCACCCACGGGACCCCAGTGCCCGGCTCGGCACCCACACGTGAAGGCAAACACCAGGCACCGGGGCTGGCCGGCAGGACTCCGGTGACAGCGGTGTGCCCTGCTTCACGGCCCCAGCACGAGACGCGACGCACCTGCTTGAACTGCTCCTCGTATGTCCAGTCCCCGTGGTCAGGAGGCTGCAGCTGGGGGGCCACGTGGGCCACGCCCCCAGGGTGGGCCGGGCCGGCCCCTGCTCGCTCCTGGCCACCCGGCACGCGGGGCCCGCCGTCACCGCCACGGAAGGCCTGGGGCGGTGGGGCCTTGCGGGGGAGCAGAGCAGCATGGCCCAGGCCAGTAGAACTGGGGGGCCCGAGCCCCTCTTCATCCTCGTAGTCCTCCTCGTCCTCGTCCTCATCCCCGTCCTCGTCCCCCAGGTCTTCCTCCAGCTCCTCCTCCTCCTCCTCCTCTTCCCATTTCGGCTTCCTGGGGGTGGCAGAGGGCAGAGGTCAGCGGAAGGGCGCCAGCTCGCCCCCACCGGGCAAGGCCGGCTCCTCGTCCAGCCTGGGTTTCCCTGTCAGCTGGCTGATGACAGGACCTGCTTGCCTTGTCCCCAGCGAACTCTGATGACCGGAGCTGATCCCTCGGCACACACCGCAGCCCCCGCCCGTGCCAACCAGCTCCCCTCACCGCCTCTGCTGGGCCGTGAGTGCCAGGCGGTTCCTGCCTCGGGGCCTTTGCTCGGGCTGCTCCCGCCACCAGGCATGCCCTTCCAGGCTCCCCCTGGCCCCTGGGGGCCGTCACTTCTGCAAGGAGCCCTCTGCCCACCACGCTAGAAAGCTGACCTCCAACCCCAGCTTCATGTTCTCAGTGGCCCCATCACAACCTGCTTATTCAACTAGAAGACCCCCCACAAAGACCCCCTCCCGCCAGTGACGGGCCCCGGCCACGTGTGGCGAGCTCCATTCAAGTTAAGAGGAAAACAAGCTACACACGCAAACCCTCCACTGTGTGGGACACTTTTCACGTGATCGACAACCACGTGTAACTGGTGGCCCCCACACTGGGCGGTGCAGAGGGAGACCGTGTCCACTGTCATCCAGAAAGTTCTAAGGCTGCCGCTTCCTTGGGGGATTCGTCCTGCCCTTACACCCGTGTCCCCAGCGCCTAGACACACCCGCTCAGTGCGCAAAGTGCGCAGAGGCCACTCACAGGTCATCGTCAGAGCCCAAGTCGTCCAAGTGTCTGTCGCCTTCGGCAAGTCCTGGCACCTCTCTGCCTGGGCCGGGAGAGCCGGCTGCCCCCTCCTGGGCCGTGTCCTCATCCTCCGAGCCGGGCGGCCCGTCCTCAGAGCCACTGGGGCTGGGTGCAGGTCCGAGGCCGGCCGCAGCAGCCCGCATGGCGGCCAGCGCGGCCATCTGCGCCCGCTGCATTCGGGCGTTCTCGGGGTCTCTGTCCTCATCCGAGGGCACCCTGGCACGGGCCGGGGGGCCAGCGGGGGCCTCGGGCGGAGGCGGCTGCCGGGCCTCCAGAGGGGGGGCCCGGCCGCACTGCAGTGTGGGGGCCGCGGGGGAGCCGGGGCAGTGCAGGGTGGCGGGGGGCGGGGCCACGGGGCTCAGGCCGAGGGCTGGCGGGGCATGCCAGCGGACGATCGCCGCCTTCTCACGCTGGGCACTGCGGGGCAGCGGCTGGTGTCCAGCTCATTTGGGTGTTTGCAGAAACCTGGGGGCAGCAAGAGAGGCCATCAGACCCTACGTGTGGGGGCCGCGGGGGAGCCGGGGCAGTGCAGGGTGGCGGGGGGCGGGGCCACGGGGCTCAGGCCGAGGGCTGGCGGGGCATGCCAGCGGACGATCGCCGCCTTCTCACGCTGGGCACTGCGGGGCAGCGGCTGGTGTCCAGCTCATTTGGGTGTTTGCAGAAACCTGGGGGCAGCAAGAGAGGCCATCAGACCCTACTGGTCCCCTCGCACCTTCCTCCCCATAGAGATGGGACCGCAAAGGCCTCTGGGAAAACCCCTCCCATCCTGGTGCAAACCCAGAGGCCTCCCTAGAGGCGGAGGAGCGCTCTCCCCATCCGCCCCCCTCTGTCCGCTCTCCAGAGGGCTAGGAAGTGGGGTTACCCCGCTCTGGACTCCCGAGGATCTCAAGGCGGCCCCCACCCGTCTGGGCCACAGAGAAACACGCAGTCGCCCACCGCACCTTCCGCGAAGAGCGTGAATTATTGCTTCATAAACGCAGCGGGGCGGGCTGGGGGGTGGGGGCGCCACGGGACATTCCTGGCCTCTGATTGGCTACAGCCGTCTGCCAGACACCAGAGTCCAGGTGGATTCTGGGTTCTGGTTCCGGGTTCCAGGTGCTGGTGCCCCTGGCCCAGAGGGCTCCAGGCACCCTCCCATCCTCAGGCTAACAGAGACGATGGCCGGCCCGGACTCGAGCGCCTGCCTTGTAGGGACCCTGGACTAGCCCTTCCCCATTCACGCTCTCGGCCCTAAGCCTACACCTCTCTGGGCCTCAGTGTCCCTATGTGCAAAATGGTGTCGTAACTGCGCCCACCTCCCTGTGCTCGGGAAGAGACAGAGTGAGTTTCTCATGGGGACAGGCCCATGTCACCACCGAGTCAGGGAAGGAGGCACCAGGTGATGCCTACTCCACAGATGAGAGAAAGTGAGGCTCGAAATGGCCTTGCTAGCCCAGATCTGAGACTCCCCGCTGCCCTTGGAGACCCCAAGCGAGGTCAGCATCCCAGAATGCAACGTGCTCTGCCCCCAGCCAGGGGTTGCCAGGGACGCCCAGGGATGTCCCAGAGCCTGGCACAGCCCCCCACCCCAGTCCAGTCACACCCCCCACCCGCCCAGGCCGCCAATAAAACAGATGGGCAGAACCCAACAGGCCCGGTGGTGACACCCCAGATGGTACATCACAGGGACAGGTGGGAAGGCAGGAGGGTCCAGGAGGCAGGCCCCTCACCCTGCACATGAACTCTCCAAAGGTCCTAAGCCACTCCTGGGGCAGGGGCTCCTGGGGCAGGGGCTCCTGGCCGAGGCTAGGTCACCACGCTGGCTCCGTGCTAAGAGCCTGGCCCCACCCAGGGGAGTTCTGCAGCACAGGCCCCCAAACCTCACCAGTCTTGGGAGGATGAGCCACAGCCACCCAGTGGCCCTGGCCTTCCACCTTTTCTCCCCAACCAGGCCAGACGCCCTTTACCCAGGCCTCCTGGGGCTTCCCGCAGGACGGGTAAAAGGGCAATGCGGGGGCACAGGCGAGTGGCCCCTGTAAAAAAGTGGGAAGGGCCATGTGCCCAAAGGACCTGAGTGTCCAGCAGGAGCAGGGGTCCCCGGGCACAAAGACCCTCTCAGAGGCCACGGTGCTCAAGAGTCACCAGCACAGCAAAGCAGCACCCCGCCCCCCTTCTCCCCCCACCAGCCCCAAGAAGTGCTGAGGGGACATTTCTCACCCAGTGTCTAGTCTGGTCCTGCCCCTCCCCCCCACCTTTGACAACTTCAAGACAAGCCCCCCCCCCCGGAAAAG